CATATAGAGCATTTTGCAATTTTAAGATTTTGATAAGAATTCCAGGTTGAATAATAATACAATAATACTTTAATATAATAATTTTTTATTCTACTAAATACAGAGTATATTTTAATTATTAAATATGATATCTTTTTAAAATAAAATTTGTATTTTTAATAATAATTCACATTCATTAATATTTATATAGATTTTTGTTATTGAAAATAAATAAAAGAGAATAATGGTGAATAATTTTAAAGATTATACCCCGTATAAAAAGTTTTAAGCAATATTTATATAACCATATTTTTAAAATAATAAAATAACTATGTAGATTAAAAAATGGTGAAATGCATTTTGGTATAATACTTAGAAAATAGAAGATTTTACACAAAATCAATGATGATTCAATGTATTAACAATAAACGTTATTTTGATTAATAAAAAATTAAAAGAAGAGGCGACAATCTTTTATGATTAAAACTAAAACTAAAATTTATTTATTATTTTATTTGGAAAGTCTTAAAATGAACTAAATGATGAATAGTTTTAAACATTTGTTTATAATATTTTTTTAACATAATAAAGTTATATAACTTTTTTTGAATAATAACATAATAATGTATTAGAGGTATATTTAGTTGACGAGTGAATTTAGTAGTTTACCGGTTGTGGATATCACCACTCTTATATAAACTCTGTATAAAAGAAGACAAATTCCGTAGTGATCTTTAGATATATATGTGTGTGTGTGTGTGTGTGTGTGTATACTCATTTTATAGAAATAATATAAAAAATAATTATATCTATTTCACCTTGTAAAATTAAAGATATTCAAATCGATAGTAAACATATTTTTATTATTTTAAGAGCAGAGGAAATGGGTGTGACGCCCATCGGTGTCAACCCTGATTTTAACGTCCGGGGGCGTTAAACCCCGCCCCCCTAAGGTTTCAAACGGGTGTGACCTCATCAGCGTCAAACGTTTAACGCGATGCTCCCCTCCCCCAACGGCCAAAAATGACTATTTTAGCCGTTAAACCAAAAAAATTCTAAATTAAAAAAAACCTATAAATTCCCCCAAAACAAACCTATCTCTCACACATCTCTCACTGTCTTCTCTCTACAATTCTATCAATCTTTCAAATATTTGATTATTTATTATAAATATTTATAAAATATATTTTAAAAGTGGGATCATCTTCATCTGATGATGAAAAAGAGCTCTCATTTTTTGTTGTTTCGCCACGAGTTGTTATCAATGGTGGCAACAAGAAGAAAATGAAGAAGTCGAATCATCCCAATGCCGGACCCGGACCCGACGACAACGTTTAAACCGGGATCAAGCGGCTGTCCACGCTTCACTTCTCAATGTACTTTAATACTCCGTGTGTTTATACACCAGAGGATTTTAGTAATCGTTTTTGGATGAGTCTTCCTCTCTTTTTACGCATACTCGCCGAAGTTGAACGCGAGGTGCCTGGGTTCACCCAACGCTTTGATGCGAGGGGCCGATGCGGGTTTAGTAGTTTCTAGAAGTGCACTGCTGCGCTTCGTCAGATGGTGTACGGGACGACATCTGATATGTTCGACGAATACTTGAAGATGTCGGCTCGGAGCATCAAGTCCTATGTTATAAATTTTCTAAAGCTATTATTCAAATTTATCATAAAAGATATTTACGCAAGCCTACAACGAGTGACATTCAGCAGTTACAAGCAAGGCATGCCGCTAAACACGGCTTTGTCGGCATGCTTGGGAGCATTGATTGCACGCATTGGGAATGGAAAAATTATCCCACTGCGTGGCATGGTCAATTCTCTCAGCGTCCATCCCCAGCCTACTATCATGATGCTCGAAGATGTTGCTTCAAATGACTTGTAGTTTTGGCACGCTTTTTTCGGTGTCGCGGGCTCGAACAACGACAACAATGTTCTCGATTAATTGTCTGTTTTTGATGATTGGATTAATGAGACCGCACCTGACTCGTCGTTTGAGCTTAGAGGGACGCTTTACAAGCGTGGATATTATTTTCCAATGGAATATATCCAGATTATTCCACGATTGTCAAGTCCCTCTCCGAACCAAAGGGTCTTAAATGCCAGACCTACAAAAAAGCTCACGAGGCGGCGAGAAAAGATATTGAACGAGCTTTCGGGGTCTTGAAGGCTAAGTGGCACATTCAAGATCGTCCGTCGAAATGTTTTTCTCATACAAAAATGAGGAATATCATGTACGCATGTATTATTCTTCATAATATGATCGAAGAGGACAACGAGTTTACGATTTGTCAATACAACCCAGACGAGGAGGCACCTATGTATGAAGAAATCGACGAAGAAAAGAAACGAAGAAACCGCCAAGAAATTCGAAGTCGAGAGATTCACAATGCACTAACGGCGGATTTGATCGAACAAATCTTCAACTGCTCGAATAATTAGTAATTTGTTTGTAGTGTTGTTTTTTATGGATATAATATTTTTTAATGAATATAACTTTTTTTATGCATATATTTTTTATGAATGTAATATTTTTTTAATGAATGTAATTTTTATTATGCACTATTCTCCTTTCGATTATTTTAAATGATAAAATAATTAAAATTTATTATTTTAAATTTAAAAGATGTATATTTAAAAATGTAAAAAATAAGGTTTGAAGCCCCGAAGCTTCAAACCCATTTCTACTGAATCTATGCGGTAAGTTAAAGCTAATGTGGCATAGAGAAATTTTGTAGTCCTGGGGCTTCACGTGTATTTCAAGTGCCCTAAGAAGTATGATACTCTCTAATTGATAAGTCCAAAAATACAAATTCGCACTATTTTTAAAGGAAAATGCTAAAAAACCCCACCCTTGCTACCAACCATGCCCCCCTACATAAACATGTGGTAGGGAGGCAAGAAAATTAAAATTAGAGGGTGGGTAGAGAATGGGTAGAGATAAATATGTGGTGGAGAAGTGGATGGAGGCAAGGTTGGTAGCAAGGGTGGGTTGTGTGTAGCAAGGTTCATTCTTAAACGCCTTTAGGTCTGGAATTGAAATTTACTAAAGGACGGTTGGCTCACTGACGACGAGGAGCCCCACTTCCATTTCACAAAAAATTGCTGCGGGGTACCCTCAGTTTTGTGATAAGAACTCGTAGGTCCCATTATTTTTCAAAATGTACTCCGAGGTACCTTAAAATTTACAAAAAGTTACTCCGAGGTGACAATCCGTTACTCTCTCCGTCAATCCCTAATTGCCGTTAGCCTTTTCTTCTCCTTCACCATTCTTTTGGCCTTCCTTCTTTTCTTTTTTTTTCTTTTTCTTCTCCTCCTTCTACACCCTCCAATCCCATCCAGCCTTCCCTTTTTTCTTCTTCTATTTTTTTCTTTTCTTCTTCTTGTATTAATTATTATTGTTGTTATTATTATTATTGATATTATTATTATAATTGTTGATGTTAGATATTATGGAGTATTATTTTATTATTTGTAAGTATTTGTTATTATTATTATCATTATTTATTTATATATTTATTATTTTTTTAAATAGCAGTTTTACTAAGGCCCCATAAAAAAATTTGTGTGTGCCCACATTAACTTTTTTTCAATATTCACTTGCGTTAACAAAACTCAAAATATTTTAAAGCTTTACTTGAAAATTAGTTTTAGTAATATACTTCATCCGTCCCATAAAATTTTTCTTCTTTCTTTTTTTATCCGTCCCACAAAACACTTCTCATTTCTATTAAAAAGTCACTTTTACCCCTTACTTTTTCATACCCTAACTATCACATCATACTTTTTTACTAATAATCTATCCATCAAATCATACTTTTACCCATCATATCAAAGGACATTTTTGGAAATTCAATACCAAAATACACTCCCTTATAAAATTAAGATTATTTATTCACTTGGTTATAAAGTATACGTCCTAATTTATAATAATAATAAAAATATGAAATTAAAACTATTTTTTATCATTTCAAATTATCTTTAAAAAAAATCTAGAGACACTTGCTCGTCTTATTCTCGTTTCAGGTCCTCTCGTTTTCGGGATTCACTACTACCAATGACAGTTGCCGATGGCTACTGCATGACTAATGTGAAAGACATCAAATGTCAAAAAAATTTGAGTAGTAAAACTACTACTAATTTTTTATTAATAATAATAATAAGTGTTATTTTAAATAATAAGTACTATTTTTATAAATACTCCCTCCGTCCCTGAGTGTTTGTCCACTTTCATTTTTGCACACCATCCAATGCACTTCTTTAATCCATTTTACCTTATAATTTATATATTAAAAAATTATAGAAATTATATATTAATAATCTATATGTTAAGACAAATCAAACAAGATCACACATGACTATGTTTAGGCTTACACATTGAGAGAATTTGATAAGTCAAAATGCTTAAATGAACAGTTTCAAAAGTCAAAAGTGGACGAATATAACAAGACGGAGGTAGTAATAATTAGTTTTATTTTCTTAAAAATAGAGTAATAAAACTACTAGTTAATTTTTAATAATAATAATAATAATAATAATAAATAACAACAATAGAAGAAAAAAATAATAAGAAATAGATAATAATTAATACAAAGCAAGTAATAAAGTACTTTATAAGAAGTTCTATTTTTCTAAATAACAATTATTGTTATTTTTTAAAAAAAAGAAGAGTAAAACTAATAAATAGTTTTTAATAATAGTAAATAAAATTAATAATAGTGAAACTACTAATTAATTTCTTTATAATAATTATAACAATTAATAACAAATAATAATTATAATAGAAGAAGAAAAAAGAATTCAAAACAAAAAATAGAAGAAGAAATAAAGTAGGCGCTAGGCTGGATCTGATCCGAAGGCAAGGCAAAGGAGAAAGAGGAGGAGGAGGAGGAGGAGAAGAAGAAAGAAGAAGGAAGAAGAAGAAGAAAAAGAAGAAGAAGAAGAAGAAAGAAGAAAAGAAACAAGAGGAAGAAGATGGCCTAAAGAATGGTGAAGAAGAAGAAAAAGTTAACGGCAAATGGGTACCCCCGGGAGTAACTTTTCTTAAATTTTAAGGTACCCGCAGCAATTTTTTGTCCATTTCATCTATTTGCCCGCCTTTTCCCGTTCATTCTTTTCTCCCCTTAAACCCTCCATTCTCTCCGTCTCAGCCGCCGCGCATCTCACAATGAAGCTCTCACCCGTTTCTCTCCGCCACCAATTCCTCTTCGGAATCACCGCCGACCCTACTTCCCGCCCCTCCGTATCCAGACCCGCCTCCATAGCTCGGCCATCCCGCGTTCGCATGTCGCTTCGTGAAGATGCCCCCTCCGTTGCAATCGTCGGCGTCACGGGAGCCGTCGGTCAGGAGTTCCTCTCCGTCATCTCCGATCGCGACTTCCCGTACAGATCCCTCAAGCTCCTAGCCAGCAAGCGCTCGGCGGGTAGGAGCCTAACCTTTGAGGGCAGGCAGTATACTGTTGAAGAGCTAACCGAAGACAGCTTCCAAGGTGTTGACATTGCCCTGTTCAGCGCCGGTGGGTCTATCAGCAAGAAGTATGGCCCAATTGCGGCTCAGAATGGGACTGTTGTTGTGGATAACAGCTCTGCTTTTAGGATGGAAGAGGGTGTACCGCTTGTGATCCCAGAGGTTAATCCAGAGGCCATGGCGCATATCAAGATTGGATCTGGGAAGGGAGCTATAATTGCCAACCCTAATTGTTCCACTATTATTTGCTTAATGGCTGCTACACCCCTTCATCTCCGAGCTAAGGTTAGACTCATGATGTAGTGTACAATCTGTAAAATTACACTATAAGGTTTTCTATGTTGTCTTCTTACATTCTAAGATATATGCTCATATTTCTTCGTACATTCTGCCGATTGATGTTGATTCTCGGTCATTTTTGGGTATTATGGTGAAGTTGAATTTAAAAAGAATACAGATATTACTTGCATACTCTCTTCTTATTAATTGGATATTCTGAATTCACCTTTTTGTTTCCACATATAAATTTGCTAACATTAATGCTCTTTTTGGATAGAAATGAACCTAGGTGAATCTAGTTGAATAATATGGAGTATGATACACTCCGTTTGAAGACTCCTTTCGTCTTATGTTTTGGACACCATTAGTTCAACTTTTTAGGGCATTAGATGATAATAACAATGGAAAAGTACATCCACACATATCACCTACTTATAATCTTAGAGTGTCCACTTCCTCTGATTGAGGATTATCAATTATTTAGGCTTAAAATCCATGTATATCTCATGCAAGGGAGAACACGTGTCAGTTGTCAAACTGGACATAAACGATAAACTGGTGGCACAGGTTTCCCTTTGCGCGGGATCTCCATGATCCCATCAGTTCCAAAATTTCAAACATAAATCGTTTCCAATCCTAGGAAGTACACAATCTTTTTAAGTAAGTGATATGCGTGTACACATTTTTTATTTTAATTTTCATAATTTCATGTCAGGAATTTCGGGTGACTCGTCATTTAAAAATTTATTTCTAACTAGTCTAACTAGGTGCTAGTATAGTGAAAATAGTAAGGTATAAAGATCAGCTCAATGGCTTACCTTTAAAAAGGTGAGGTTAATAATGTCCAATATCCTAAAATGTTGGATTAATGATGTTCAAAAATCATATTATTAACATAACTTAGGCCAGGTTAATCATCCATCTGAATTCACCCAATTCACTTTGTGTTCGTTACCAAGATGTATGGAATCAGAGATTCAGGGTAATGTCTTATGTAATTTATTCATTTTAATATGCCTTTTACCCAAACAAGGTTAGAACAAAATTCACCTAGGTAGAGATAATATTATCCAAACAACTTATGGTACTCAGGTAAATAAATTTCTTCTTTAAAGGATTTGTTTACTGTTCCCTTTCATAGTTCTCTACAACTATACAAGGTAATATATGCACGACTATGGTTTTTATTGATAGTAGTGTGGTTAAGACTTTGTTCCTTCATATATGTAGATGATATCGTACATCCACTTAAGTTTCACATATAAGGATCACCTAGAAAGTTTACGTGTTTCTTCCTATCTATGGTTTTGTAAATGCTGAAGAGTGGAGACACTTCTTTAGCCACAGTGTGTGTTTGTATGAAGTTGAAGTTTGTAGCTGTTTTAGTATATGGATTTCTTATGAAATCCTTCAAGGTGTTTGTAGACCTTCAAGATAATAAAATTCTTGTGGGATTTTCTTTGTTTTGTTGTTTTTTTTGTGAAAAAATGTGCAGAGCATTGAATCTTATGTGTGCAAGGATGAGGTTTCTTTTTACCCTTTCTCTGTCCAGACTGTAATTGACTTATTGTAAAGACTCATTTGCCTGACTAAAGCGGATCGGTCTCTTAGTAGGAGTTACTCTTGTTCTATGATTGGAGCTTGATCTCTGCTTTTAAACTTGTAGACTGCTTTTTCTGTTTTGACATAAATGTTCAGCTAACCATCACACTTTGATGTTTTTTTTGAAATTAATAAATGATTGATATATTTATCATCGATTTCCTGAGAAGGGATAAATTGATAAAAGAATATCATTTTTTATGCGCCTGTTCCTCATTTTGTTACAGGTTAAACGTATGGTTGTTAGCACTTACCAGGCTGCCAGTGGTGCTGGTGCTGCAGCAATGGAAGAGCTTGTTCAGCAGACTCGCGAGGTTTCTTGTCATCTTGCTTCTACTTTCCCATTATATTTGCAGTAAATTTTGAAGAAATTTTCCATTTTTCATTGGCATCTTTGAAGTTGGTTCTGAGTGCTTGCTCTATCTAAAATAGGTGCTTGAAGGGAAAGAACCAACCTGTAACATCTTCAAGCAGCAGGTGTGTAAGATTTCTTTAGGATTATATAAACTACATCTTTCATCTGACTTAGGATTTTGTATTGTATCTAAACATCTAAATAATATAAATTTTTTTGCAGTATGCTTTCAACCTTTTCTCACATAATGCATCTATTCAATCAAATGGGTACAATGAAGAGGAGATGAAATTGGTAAAAGAGACGAGGAAGATATGGGTAAGGGTTTGTTCCATTACATAGCAATGGTGGCTAATACATGGTTTATAACTTGGCTGTCTCTTTGAGTGTTTGGAGCAGTTTTATTAAACAATGTTTTGACTATCTTGTAGAATACCATGGATGTCAAAGTAACAGCAACATGTATCCGAGTTCCTGTTATGCGTGCTCATGCTGAGAGTGTCAATCTTGAGTTTGAGAAACCACTTGATGAGGTATTTTTTAGAATTAGTTTATGTTATTGTTAGTTGTTACCTAAATTTTGCTACAAATTTAATTGAGAATGGCATTGGCCAATACCTTTCTGTTATTAAGCCCATCAGTATATTGGTATGTTTACATCCATATGGAGCATTGAGTTACTACTATATGGATATAATCCGTTTTAAATTATAGGGTCCGTTTGGAAAGTTGAAAATGACTTTTTGGAAGTCATTTTCCCCATTTTCCAATGTTTGGTAAACTAGGAAAATGGAAGTGAATGCACTGGTCAAAGGAAAGTGATGCCTAAAATCCCGAGAATGGTTTCTGGAAAATTACTGATTTTTCAGAACTCATTTTCTAGAAATCATTTCCCCCCTTTCCAAACAGACCCATAAGTTTCACATGGAACATCCTTTCCAGTTGGCTTTATATTGTACATCAGCTTACTAGTTTTGGTTTTCATGCTGGTAGTGGTATGGATCAAATAGTAAGTGAATGGTGATATGGATTGATTTGATTCTCCAAGACAAATTTGTGTATTCATTGGAGATTAGGTGTTGCTATTTGAATTGATACTATTAATGTGCTTTATCATTTTTAAAATCAACAATTTTGCCCACAAGTTATGATTCTCACTGTTAGACATATGTTAATCTTTGTGTAAACATGCGGTGGGCTTCAGGCCTGAATCTTCAAGGGATGATAACCTTGATGCTTTGGTCGAGCTCATTTCAGTTTTACTACGGTAATTTCTTTCTCCTGAAGTTGTGTTGCTTTGATGAGGTTTTACTACACCACATGATCAACCATATGTCCATACCCCAAGTCTGTTTTACAGTGTCTTCATTCCAAACAAACCTTTGTCTGGTATGAGACTAAACCGCTAGCACCTCTGCGGCTATCCTCAATATTGCGAGAGTAGAGCCTTTTGCTGACGTCCCAGCCTTCCAGCTTTATGGAGCCTCGAAATTGTTGTAGTAAAAGAATCCTATTTCAGTGGTGGTGGAATTTCTGAGAAACACCTTAGCGGGAGTTGGTCAAACTAGAAGACAACTGTGTGTTGACACTATTAACTTCATAAAGTCATAGTACTTAGTAGCCATAATGAATGTGAAGATAGTGTGAAGTTTACCAACAAGCACATCAATCCGTAATGATGTTGTTCCAGACTAAGGGATAAGGATTTGCATCTTTAAAAAGTGAATCGTTTACATAATGGGTTCCGTGACTGACATAAATAATGGGCTCCGTGAATAACATACTAATGTGTTGGCTAATTATCGAGTAGGATTAGGAATACCCAAGATATTTTGGTTCGAGTTGGAATAGATTATGGGTCCTAGGATTATTTAGTTTACTTGTTGACTAAGTTCGGTTAACACTATATATATCATAGCCAAGGAAGAGGATATAAAAACACTAAGTAAACTATTGCTCTCAAATGGGGAAAGCTCTCATTCTCGAAGGGGAAAAAACGGATCGAGAGGGCGAAGCCGATACAACCAAGGTCGATGAAGAGACCATGACCAAGATGATGATGGCCAAGATGGAAGTCAATGTCGAGATGGCCAAGATCATGGGTCAAAATGTCAAATAAAACGGGTCAAAGAAGAACCAATGATTGTCAGAAGGGAAGAAAGGATAGATCAAAGGTACAGTGCTATCAGTGTGATAAATTCGGTCACTTTGCGTCAGTATGCCCTCAGCATATGGAGAAACAGGAAGAAGCTAATTTAGGTGAAATTGATGTTTTGGATCCATCTTTGTTTATGATAAGATGTGATCAAGAGAAGGTCTTTATAAATGAAAAAAGGTGATTCCGAAGTGTTTCGAGATTGAACCAAAGGAGAAAGACATTTGGTATCTCGAAAACAGAGCATCGAATCACATGACAGGTAATCAAGCTTACTTCTTTGAACTTAATGAACGTGTAACAGGAAAGGTGAAATTTGGAGATGTGTCTTGTATTGACATACAGGGAAAGGGATCAGTGTTAGTAGAAGGGAAAACAAGGGAGCAACGCCTGTTTACTGATGTTTATTACATACCCAGCTTGCAAAGCAACATCAGAAGTCTTGGTCAAGCAACGGAAGGTGGATGTGACATTCACATGAAGTGCAATCTGCTAACCATTCATGATGACATTGGGAATCTTATGATGACGAGAACCAAGAACCGTTTGTACAAAATCAACCTCAAGATAGCAAGTCTCACTACACAAGTTAACATTATTGGAATGAAGACTTTTGCGGGTAGAGATCTACAAAGAGTTGAACTGAAAGAAGGTACGTGAAGTACGGGTCAGAATCTTCTCAAAGATCCAAGTTTAATGGAGAAACCCAAAATTCAAAGCCCAAAGAAGAATATTCAAGAGTTTAAAGGAGATGTCAAGAAAAGGATTCTAGCCCAAGGAAGGACGTGTAATGATCGCAAGAAACAAGTGTTTGTTCAAACTAAGTGGAGCCCAAAGAACACTGCAAGGGCAAGGGATCATGAAGAGCGTCGGGAGAATCAAGGTAAAGAAGACATGCCCGAATTCAACTCGGAAATTAGGGTGGTGATTGTTTGCTAATTACTGTGTAGGATTAGGAATACCGGAAATATTCTAGTTCGAGTAGGAATAGAATTATGTGTCCTAGGATTAGTTAGCCTACCTGTTGACCAAATTGAGTTAACACTATATATAATTATATATCATAGCTAACCTTTGGGTTTGATATGAGAGCCATATAAGATTTATATGAGAATTATTGTATTAGCTTTTGAGTTATATTTTTCTAATATAATAAAAGCTAGTTCTCATCAAATTGTGTTCTATTTAGTACTTTGAATTCAATATAATGTGCATGTGTTAAGCATACAAAGTATACATATTACAACAGCATTCCTTGCTTCTAGGGCTCTCCTTTTTTTTGTACAACTCTGGTGGTCGTTTTGGTAGAGAGTACATTTCATGCATATTAATTTCCCAAAAATTCCAAGAGAAGTACAATGTCATGCTCAACCATTTTACATTTGAATTCATTCGGTCTCCTAGTCATAGTTTCAAGAATCTTCATCTATGCCATGGGGAAGTACACGTGAAGTATATTTTCAACCTTCTTTCGAGTATGCAGGAAACTGCAAAGGATATTCTTCGTAGCGCACCAGGTGTAGTGGTGATTGATGATCGTGCTGCAAACAGATTCCCCACACCACTGGAAGTTTCGAACAAAGATGATGTTGCAGTTGGGAGGATACGCCGGGACATTTCCCAAGACGGCGACTATGGGTAAACACACTGCCCTCAAACTGTACTTGCCTCCTATCATTGTGTACATTGTGTGCTTTTGTCTGAAAATGTCACTCTGTTTGCCTCTTTAAAGGTTGGACATCTTTGTTTGTGGTGATCAAATACGTAAGGGAGCTGCCCTCAATGCCGTTCAAATTGCAGAGAAGCTGCTGTAAGTTGACTTGACAGCAAGACGATCAACAAAATAAAAAAATTTCTTTTCTAACGGTTCTTAAAGGTCCAGAAAGGGGATATTTATGAGTATATACAGAGTATTCTTTATCTACCTGTGGGGGTGGTCAATGTTGTAGCAATAGCCACATGGTTTTGCCGATGAATGTTTTTGAAGGTGGATACTAGATTTTTGTTATAAAGATTACGTAAAACTGGATTTCTTTAATGGAAGATTTTGGGGAATACATTGGGCTAATAACTCTAGTGCCTGTGGTTTTGGAAAGTAGGCATTAGTATCTCTTTTTTTGAAACACATTTCTAAAGTTTAGATATTTTCAAAAGTTGCACATGCATCCCAAAAATTCTTTTCCTTTCAATTTTCCATCAAAGAGATGGATATTGGTGAAAATGTGAAATGCACATTTTCCAAATCAAAAGGAGTATTGAGGGTTTTTTTTACAATTTATTTGACCTAGTGTGACAAAAATACCGCTCTATTTCCATCTTGACATAATGTTACATCTCTATTTACGATGCATTAGCAAAAAAATATATGTTAAGTTTTATTTTTTTATTTTTTAGATTAAAAGAGTTGTTTTTGAAACATTTAAAAAAGAAAATAAGGCCAGGTTTCTTTTTTATTATATGCATACTCCATATAAGTTAACTTTTGGAAAATTTACCTATATAGTATTAAACATAGTGAGTTTCTTAATGTAGTACACTCTCTGTCCCAATTTATAGTGCATGTTTTGGTTTACAATGTTTGACTAAAATTATTTTCAAGTTATTTTATATGACAAATGGTATAGAGTTATACTACATCAAAAAATCTATAAAACTAGTAGTGACAATAATATTTTATTTAATCAAATTGCTAACGAAAATAGATAAAGAAAAATGAATGAATATTGACCTTGCAAATAGTAAACATGCACTAGAAATGGGGACGGAGGAAGTATCGTATTGATAGATTCCTGATACTTCACCCTCAGACTATTGGAAAGTGCATCTTAGCCTTGTAACAGGTAAAGAGTAGAAATAAAATAGTAATGAATAGTGTAAAGACATAACTTCTCTGTCTGTCTCAAACACTGACAAGGAATATTCTGTCCGTCTCTCAAGGGAGGCGCACTCTAATTCTGTAGGATGGGCTGGGTACTTCCTCGGTGACCCGATCCTCTTTTGGGCTGAAGCTCCACTTTGCTTCAGCCTAATCTTCCCAAGGCCCATCTTAATTCTTCCATGGTCTGATCCTCTGATCGGGCCCAGCTACTATCTTACCTTGGCCCATTTATCTTCACAGACTTGGGCGGACCTTCTAAAGTTATGGACTCTAACTTAGGCCTGATACGTATTTTGAGCCCACTCATCTTATAATGTCTTGGTGGACCGAGATCCCATCACGTTACACTACTCATTACTATTTTATTTCTACTCTTTCACTGTTACAAGGTCCGGATACTAATATTTGGACTTTGAACTGCCCAATAGTCTGAGGGAAAAATATCAGGGATTCATCACATATGTTTTAGTTTCCTAATGTAGTACCACTGTTCAATGTCCACTACTCGATATTGTTCAACTATATCTCCACCACCACTATGCATTGCTCTCGCCACTAGATATTCTTTTAATAAAGAGTATTATTTAGTGCAAATTCCACCTATTTTTTCTAAGGCCTCTCAAAATGAAATTATTAATTTTTTTGAATGTTATGAAAAGGAATTTCTTTAAAAATAAAATTACAAGATTTTTTTTGTATCTTGTTCTTTTATTCATTCTCATTTTGGAACGTCTAAAAAAGGATTTATTTATTAAAAAAATAAAAGAAATCTCATTTTCTTTTTTGATTGTTGAAAAAAGTTATTTTATTTTAAACACTAAAAAAAATTAAAAAATAAAAATTAAGAAAAGTGACATACGGTCAATTGTCTGTCTTGAAATGGAGATGAAGAGTTTCAGCTATGTTCTCTTCACCTGATCTGATTGGTTTTTATCTCATTGGAATAAGTTCTGATCTGATCTGAATGTTATATTTAAAGCTATTTCTGATCTGATCTGGTCTGATCTGATTCCAATAAGTATAAGTAATAAGTAAAAAAATAAATTGGGGAGAACATGACCCACGTGAGAAGGTAAATTGAGGGATATTTTTGTCATTTTATGTCAAATAAAGTTTAAAAAGTCTCACAGCTTTGGTGCTTCATGTGATTTGAAACATACGCACTAGTATCTCTTCCCCTTTTCAAGCGTAGAGTCGAGTGAAGTTGACAATTAGAAGTATAGGCCATGTTATTTTGCTAAGAAAAATTAACTTCTAACTCTTTCCAACTTAGGGTTGGACACGGTGCAATTCCGGTCCTATTTCGATTCCGAAACTGGCGATTCTGGATCCGGTTCCGGGCCGGTTCTCAGTTACTTATATTTTTTTCTAAATTTACTTTAAATAATATAATACTATATGTAATGTAAAAGAAATTTATAACTTTTTATAAATTCTAATAATGTAATTATTTAAATTAAGAAAGTTAAAATTACAACTAGATTCAATATCTTGATGGTCTAAAAAAGATGAGGTAAAAAACCGTAAAAAAACCCTCGAAGGAGCTTATAAATCGCTTACATAAAAAACTAATTACAATTTATTAAAGATAAAAAATTATTGCTTCGAACAATCACTTCCCTCCGTGTTTGTATCCATGTAATTTCGTGTATCAATGTCGTAGCCTGCCTCTTGTGTTCGACGACCTACAAAGAGCCAATCTCGATTGCAAATAAGTGTCGCAAGCAATTCACCCCTAAGACAACTTCGGTAGTCGGTTAGAATGTTACTGCTAGAACTGAACTCTTGTTCCACAGTTAAACAGGTATAAGATCTGCATACCCATACTCTTCTCAAACTTTTAGGCGGGATTTGATTAGGCCGATGGTTATTGTTAGAGCTGGCAAAATAGAACCGGAACCGATTACCCGAACCGAAATATCCGAAACCGAAACCGAAATGACCCGAAAAATGAAGATCCGATCTATAACCGAAAACCCGAAATGATCCGAATCAAACCGAAACCGAACTAAATAATTCATATCCGATTTAAATCCGAAACCGATTAGATCCGAAACCGATAATATCCGAACCGATTAAACCCGAAACCGATTAGATCCAAAACCGATAAAACCCGAAACCGATAAAACCTGAAACCGATTAGATCCGAAACCGATTATATCCGAAACCGATTAGAACCTACATAGATAATTTTGGAAGTATGTTTTCCTTTCAATAAGCATATTATGCTTTTACAATTTTACTTTTATTTTACCATTTGAACTAATTATATTACTTGCTCATTCCCTTATAAAATGGATTACATGTTTTAGAAATATTACAAAAAATAGAGCAAATGAGCAATAAAATAGAGATGACATAAAACACATGAAAATTACTTTTTCCAAATCTAAGCATACATGCGATAAAATAAAGCAAACCAGTAATAAAATAGAGATAATAATCTTGCTAAACACCAAAAAGTAGTCATCTAGTGATAATTAAAAAATATAGTATTCAATAGTCATGATCCAAAAAGTGGTAACACAATCCTAATACNAAATAATACTAAAACATAATTACTTTCTTAATCTAGAACTTAAACTTTTTTATTCCTTAGAGAGAACTTAATAATGTCTTAGTGGGAGGAATAATGCCCAGTAATAAATTAATAATGGACATTTACTTGAATAATGACTAATTAATAATGACCAAAAGTCCTACATTGGAAAATAAAAACATATGGTCCTATATTGAGAAAGTCATTGTGTTTTAGCCCTATTTAGGTAAATTACTCATAATATTATTTGAAGTGATATAATTTTAATATATCAAAACTAAATTTTAAAATTAATATTATGATATTAAATTTATATCATCATAAAATATATTTTTTCATAATTTGTAGTCCACTCGAGCGAATATATCCGAAACCGAAATATATCCGAACCGGACTAGACCCGAAACCAAAATATATCCGACTCAAATTGTATCCGAATCAAAATCTATCCGAACCGATTTATAACCGAACCGTATCTGAACCGACTCGAAACCGAACCGAACCGAACCGAAAAATGCATAGAACCGAAATCAAATCCGAACAGAAATTTAACCGATCCAAACTGAACCGAACCGATTATAACATTTAACCGATCCGGTTGATCCGATTGCCACCTCTAGTTATTGTTGTTGTTGTTGTTGTTGTTGTTGTTGTTGTTGTTGTACTTTTGGCTAATATGTGTTTGTTCTACCAACCCATCTGTTCTCGTGTCCACCAACATCCCCGACAGTGAACATCACAAGATAGGTATATAAGGTCTATGATAAAAAAATAACAATACAGGAAAAGATAGAGCACCAAGAACACACAAAATGGCAGCTGGAATTAATTAAGCAAAAATGTAGTTGTTGAAATTGAAAAAAAAGGTCAACATAAATGTTAGAAGTGTAATTTTTTGTGAAAAAAGAAGAAGCAATATATTCTCCTTATAAGAGTTCTAAACTACCAAAGAGTAGTTTTTTGAAGGAGTCCTAAACCACACACAAAAACCTAGCAAATAAAACTGACTTACCAATGCTAGGAACCGTTGATAAAACTTCTCTTATGTGAAGTTTATAGAGTATAGTAGTTTTCTCAGTTGCATTAAGCCTTAGCTTTACAACCTATATTAATAGATAATAGAAGGATCACAAACCCAATAAGAAGAAGAATATGATTTGTTTTTATGCACCTTAACGGAAATTAATGAACACAATGGAAATACACATTTTACTCTCGATCATTTCCCTCACATTTCACTAAAGGCTAGAACATTATGACTTTATGAAATTGAGAGACATTCAAGATAATAATTAGTTTGACAACTACATTACTTTTTCATGCTATGGGTAAGAAAGTTGGTAGAGAAATATCAATTAAATATTCTTGTATGAGAATTGAATCCTTATTCTATGCATAGATGAGATGAAAATTTTGACTCCAATCTGACTACTACATTAGTTTTTCATCTTATTATGTTAACCTTTTTTCTCTTCTTTGGCCATGTAAAGTAATCCCAATGTCTTCTTCCCTCTCTATCATGTATTTAAATTCTATGCTTCCCGATATTATCTTCAGTTGTAGGTGAATGCTAAAGTGTGTGTAGTCATCCACATGCACTATTATATGTCAATCAATTTATGTATATTTTTATATCCCCACCATAAATTTGTGAATACTTTGGTAGAATTTATTCAAAGGAATTGTTTATGTAATTAATGATCTATGTGTCACGAACAACCGGACAAGTGTAAATATTCTTTCTAGTCGTCCAAATCTTTTGATATGAATATTTTAATTTACTACTTACAGGATTAGGGAATGGATGAATCTAAGAAAAAGTCACTACAGGCGGAATGGTAACCTAGATAATTGTGCCACAGGAACCTACACAGGTGGTTCCTTGTCATTTCGAGAAAATCTCACGAATGCAGTAAGAAGTTATAAATAGAAATGATAAGATTAGCTTCATATGTTACTTGTCCTGTGAAGTTCAATTACTTAATTAACATTATATACAGATAAATACTGAAAGAGAGAAACGAGCCATCATTCGTACTTTTTTACGAACAAAGACAAAGAAACATGATCAAGTGACATTTGTTGATTACAAATCACGAGAAGCAGCGGTAAGTTAGTCATTTGTGCACATACATCATAGTATATATGTCATTTGTACGCATACATCATAATACATATGTTATGCTAACATTGTAATAATGTGTGAAGGCGACATATGATGTAATGAAGCAGATCACAAAAAAGGATAATGTTCAAGCCTCTGAAGAGGAGTTATATATACTACTACTCGGTTGATGGACATGATCCTAAAAACCGTGTCTTTGGAGTAGGCAAGATGTCAAGGACTATGCCTCGAGAGAGATCTTTCAAACGCCGACGTAGAAGTGTAAGTTCCGCTGCCGAATCCTATGCTACCTCTCAACCCTCTGCCATGCAAACTTTGAAGGGGGGTATAGTCCAAATGCTTCGAGAATCCATTGCTCAAACAATCCTAGAAGAAATGCATAAATTGTTTGGAGATCGTTTACCCCGTAGAGAAGATGGACCCGACGGAGACAATTTCCTGTCCTACATATACCACACCCGCCAGAACAATTGAAGAGTGCTGAAAACACCCCAGCAAATACTATTCCATCTAACAAAAGTGCTATGTTGGAGGAACTTGACCCTGGCCCAAAAACTATAGAGGAAGATAATGAGGAGATGTGGTCTGATGAAGGTTACTTAAGTCCAATAGGCGAAGAAGATTCCTTTTCCTCTCCAATACTGGATGATAAAGCAAGAAAACTCTTAAATGATACTCCTCTTGACACTCCTGCTGCAAATACTAGAAAGGGGACTTCAAAAGCTAAGCCACTAAAACCACCTAATGCTAAGAAGTCTGGCAAGGCCAGAACTTCTTCCCCTTCTCAAACTAATTGATGGATTCCACACTTGTGTGGAATGTAAGAGGGATTTTTACCAGAGGGTCCCTTGATAGATTACACCATGTGGTATCTAAATATCATCCTAATATTATTTGTCTCATTGAGCCTTTTAGGGGAGCAGATGCTGCTTGTTCAACTACTGGAAGACACCTTGGTTTTCCTCATTACATTGTTGGTTGTCAAGGGAAGATATGGATTTTCTGGAAGGACACATACCAGCTTAGTATCATTGCTGATGAAGAACAGGTAATCTATGTGCACTACAAGAAAAAAGTCCTATAGTGTGAGTACAAACCATAGCTAAAGTAAGAAATACCCTCATTAAAGCATTTTAATGAGGGGAAATTTACTCTCATCACCCGTCACTATAGCCTCCGTAGCTAATTATAAATAATGACGGGCTTTAGTTCCTCTCATTAAAAACTATTTAATGAGAGTACTTTTACCTTCATCAAAATGAACTTTTAATGAAAAAAATTCTCTTCATAATTAAATACCAATTAATAGTATTAAAAATTCTTCATAATTATATTTTTTACCATTGAACATCCCTTCATTATATATATATATATATATATATATATATATATATATATATATATATATATATATATATATATATATATATAAGCCAACAGAATTGTAACCTAACCAAACCAAAGCCCCTCGGACAAAAAAGAAGCCTAAAAATACAAACTAAAAGTAAAAGCCAACAGAATTGTAACCTAAAAGCAAAAATCCATATTATTCACATTCTAGCAAATGTCGAGCGTGTACATAACCACAACACCTTCAGCATTGTTTCGTCCTCCGCTATGAAGGCTACTATTCTGCATCAACTCCAATAAAGCAATGAACATCAATTCTACATTTGCCAAAGCCACAACCTGCAATACATACATATAACCAAAAATTACCAAACAACCAAACATATGCAACCTTGTCTTAACAAACCAATGAGAGAGCCAAAACCTCAAAGAATCAGCTGAGAACAAAAAATTCTTTTATCTGTTTGCAACAACTTCTTTGAGGTTGCCTACCTATTTTGTTGGAGTTAGCCCCCTTATATTGAATCTGAGTGAGGTAGCCTATTGACAACATAACAAACTTCTTATGAAATCAACACTGAAAACAAATAAAAAAAATATGGAGTAAAAAAGAATGAAGTAATAAGAGGATTATCAAATGTGTTATATGTCAATCTTACCAATATAGAGATCCATTCCGAACTATATATCGCTTATTCTACAAAATTGACTAAAGTTATTATGCCATGGAAAAAAAGACACCCATTGGGCTCAAGGAACTTTCAGTTTTAGCAAATACATCCACGCTCAGACTGCTAAAATTCAGTATAGCCTAAGGCAGTTTGATGAAGTTAGAGTAATATTTGAAGAGCTTTAAGAAATGATCCATACCGAATTGATGATGTGGATATGTATTACAATGTGCTATGTGTTAAGAAATGCTCTTCTGCTTTAAGATAGCCCACAAGGTGATTTTGATAGAGAAATACATGCCAGAGTCCTGTTGCGTTATTGGAAACTACTACAGATTGAAGGGGCAGCATGAGAAGTCAGTCCTGTATTTTCAAAGGGCTCTCAAATTGAATAAAAATTATTTGTCAGCATGGACGCTAATGGGTCATGAGTATATAGAAAATAAAAACATCCCAGCAGCAGTTGATGCGTAAAGGAGGGTCGTGGACATAAGTCCATTCGATTATCGAGCATGGTATGGGTTAGGGAAAGCGTACCAGATTATCAGCCGGCTAAAACACGGGCAACAGGTTGGCTAAAAACAAATGTTATAAAGTGAATACAAATTACATATCAGAATTTTGGGTCGAACTTTTGATCTCTTCAAATGAGAAATATTTTTTTTTAATTTAGACCTATATAATGAAACTATGGAGAATATCCCTTTCAAAACTTTCTTTTTTTTGAAAGAATTGACACTCTTTAGATGAAATGTTAATTTTAACAACTAATTGGTGGAAGTTTCTAACTATGACCATTACAGTTCGAAGGTACATATGTTCAATTATGAGTTCATATTATACATCTTAGAACTAACTCACATCCCTTGCACTAACTTTTCTTTGAACATATCCCTTTCAGTTTATTTACATCAAACAGAGCAGCAGAACTTGAAACTAAACACAAAACATTATAAGAAATTAAAAGAAATCAAAACATTAATCAATCAAAAACAGTGTGTCAGTAGTCTTCTCTACATCAAATAGAGCAACAAGACACAAAACTGAACTCAAAACAGTACAAGAAATTAATAGAAATCAAAACACTAATCCAACAACAAATAGTGTGCCAATCTTCTCACAGCAAGAGAAACTCTTAAGCTCAAACAGAATTATACAAAAAGTGAAAAAAATGGGATATGATGATACAAAAATTAAAAAACAAAGCCCTAGGACTCTAGGAGTTCACTTTGTTTGATTTATTTGTTGCGATTATGAACGAGATTATACCTCTTTGCATTTCAGAAATAGATTCAAAAAATCAAAAGAATTGGGAAAGAAATCGCACCTCTATATTGATTTTGCTTGCCGTTGAGATTGATGCAAAATAAAACCCTAGAGGTCTTGCCGACACTCCAAATTGATGCGAACGATGTTGCTTGTAGAAGGATTCGTGCCCTAGGAGTCTTGTTGGGTGAGTCGACGGTGAGAGTTCAGAAGTAGGTTATAGAGATGAATTTGGTACCATGGGTAGAATCGAGAGAGATGGAGATAATCGTGCGTGTGATGGATAGACGGATGAGTGTAGAATAAGGGCTCTGCGTTTAAACAGGTAAAATAAGAGAAAATTTTTAACTTTTTTTGGTAGGGACAATATTTTAAACTAATAATAATGAGAGTATTTTACTAATAGGAAGAAAAGGAAATAACTTGGTCATAAAAAATTAAAATATTTAATAAGAGTATATTCCCGTCATTAAAAACATATGAAAAGCACTTTTAATGAGAGTTTTTCTTACCCGTCATAATTGGTCCGTAGTTAAAAGTAGTATTTCTTGTAGTGGTGGATGTTCTTCAACTTTCTAACCAACAACTTGTGAGTATGGCTTTTGTATATGCAAAAACTAAGAGATGGTTGAGAAAGGAGCTATGGAAATCACTGATGCAATTTTCTCAGGCCCATACATAAACTAAACCTTGGGCTGTTGTGGGGGACTTCAACTGTAGTCTTTATTCACATGAAAAGCTCGGTGGATTGCCCTTATCAGTAACTGCCAGCTGGGACTTTCAACAATGTATTACAAATTGTGCCTTACTGGAAGTTTCTACCTATGGTAACTCCTTTACTTGGTGGAATGGTAGAAGAGGTACTCATTCTATTTGGAAATGCTTGGACAGGCTGTTGGTGAATCAAGCATGGGCAGACAGTTTTAAAACTACTGTTCAAGTACTATCTTTAATTACTTCTGATCACTCTCCCCTTCAAATCTCTGTTACTTGTGATACTCAAACTAAAAGCCCCAGACAGTTTTCTTTTCTCCATGCATGGACAACTCACCCTAATTTTATTCGTGTTGTTCAAAAAGCCTGGTCTATGGAGAGCTCTGGTTCACCCATGACCCAATTCTCTACCAAACTACTTGCTACCAGAAAAGCTTTGAACATTTGGAATAAAGAGGTCTTTGGAAACATTTTCACTAAACTTGAGGCTTTGGAGAAAAAAGTCCAGGAAGCTGAGGAAACTTATCAGATTGCACCTACTGATGAGAACTTGATGCATTTCAAATCTGTGGATGCTCAATATCTACACCAACTTCACTTGGAAGAACTGTTTTGGAAGCAAAATGCTCATGTACGGTGGGTTGTGGATGGGGACAGAAATTCTAAATATTTTCATGCCTTAGTGAAAGCCAGAAGAAGGAAACTGTATATTCATAAAATCAAAGGCCTAGATGGTAATTGGATTGAGGATCATCAACAAATTTCTACTCAAGCTATTGAGTTTTTCCACCAACTGTTTTCTGAGGAACAAAGGGGGGAGATTGATTACAGCCCTCTCTCACATATTAATCCTCTGGTCTCTGCAAGTGATAATGTACAGTTGGTTGCCACTCCTACTATGGATGAAGTTAAGCAAGCAGTTTTTTCTCTTAATCCTAACAGTGCTGCAGGTCCCGATGGTTTTACTGGTTTGTTTTATAAAAAATGCTGGGATATTATACACTTGGATTTGTACTCTATGGTTTGTGCTTTCTTTGCTGGTGACTATATGACTAAGAGCATTGCACATATAGCCATTATACTACTGCCCAAGGTTGACAGCCCCAATACTTTTGCTGATTTTAGACCTATAAGTCTGTGCAACTTCAGCAGCAAGATTATTTCTAAAGTTCTAGCTTCAAGATTGGCTGGTGTTCTTCCTCATATCATCTACCCTTCTCAATCTGGTTTCATCCAAGGGAGGTCTATAACTGAAAATATTTTGCTAACTCAAGAACTCTGTCATGGCATGCAACTACAACACAGGGATATTGTTTTGAAACTCGATATGGCTAAGGCTTATGACAGGGTTTCTTGGGCCTTTCTCAACAAAATCCAGAGACAAATGGGTTTTTGTGAACAATGGATTGACATGGTGTTCAGAATGGTCTCCAACATATGGTATACTGTTCTTGTCAATGGCCAAAGGGAAGGTTTCTTCACCTCCTCTAGGGGATTGAGGCAGGGTGATCCTTTATCTCTAGGTCTATTTATTATAGCAGCTGAATTCCTCTCCAACCTTCTCACACGCAGAAGTCATAGTAAAGGAATTATCCCATTTACTCAACCTAGAGGCATCCAAACTATTAGTCATCTAGCTTTTGCTGATGATATGATAATTTTCACCTCAGGAAGAAGGAACTCTATCCTCAAAATTATGGAGGATTTGCATCTCTATGAGCACATTTCGGGCCAATTGGTGAGCACACAAAAAAGTTCCTTTTATATGCATCCTGGGAGTGCTACTGTCACCACTCAAAGAGTGGCTGATCTCATTTCAGTTAAACACCAACCTTTCCCATTCTATTATTTGGGATGTCCAATATATAAAGGCAAGCTAAAAGTGTGTTATTTTAACACACTATTGGAGAGAATATCAAAAAAATGTGAGGGATGGCAGGGGAGATTATTATCCTATGGTGGTAAACAAGTCCTCATTAAGAGTGTGCTGCAAGCTTTTCCTTCCCATCTCTTCTCGGCTATTCGACCTCCCAAAACAATTTTGAGTAAAATGGAGCAGAGCTTTTCTAACTTCTTTTGGGGCCAATCTGCTAGGAAAAAGCACTACCATTGGAGCTCATGGGAGCATATGAGCTTTCCTGTTAAAGAAGGAGGTTTGGGCTTTACAAGAATGCGGACCATGGTGGATGCTTATAGTGCCAAGTTGTGGTGGAATTTTAGAACCTCTATCACCTTATGGACTCAATTCATGAAAGCCAAATATTGTCAAAGAGTTCACCCTATTGCTAAGGTGTGGCAACATGGTGAGTCCCACATATGGAAGAGGATGGTCTTCATTCGAAACCTTATTGAACCCTACATATTTTGGAAGATATATGATGGATCCTTGAGCTTCTGGTGGGATAATTGGATAGGTCTGGGAGCTTTAGCTCGTATTACCAACCAGGAGAATGGGAGATTTCTTCTTGCTCCTTTCAAAGAGTATGTGGTGAATAATACTTTGAATTTTGGTCGATTACAAAACCTCATGGATCCAGGTTTCTTTTTCCACTTTAATGTGGATCTGTCAGGGTTGGGGACTAACAAACCTGATAAAGCCATTTGGAAGCCTAGGTCTAATGGCCTCTTTACACTCAAGGCGGCTAAACATTTCCTGGGGCGCAATGGTCAGACTTCCGTACAACTTCAGAAATGTTGGCAGCCTCTGTTACTCAACATTTAGACACTTGGTGGGGCCCAAAAATACACTCTAAGAGACCTACGGTCAGGGCTTATTTGCAGCACTGTATTCCTGTGCTTATACTTTGGTAACTATGGGTTCAATATGCAGCATTAAAGTATGGGGAGGGGCAAATTAATGTGGCTCGTGTTATTTTCAAAGTGAGGAAG